GAACAAGAAACAAATCGAATTTGTTGGCCATTGAAAATATCTAGTTATTAAATAAATTACTTGTTAGGAAAAACAAAGCAGCCTATTAAAAAGCAATTTATTTAATAAAGCTCCACGCACTTAAAGGTGGTTTCATCTAGTTCAAGCTGAAAATCCAATAAAAAGAACAAAACAAGTGAACAGTTGATACAAAATAAAGTGAACCAAGAGCGAGAATCATGTCGCCAGGAGTGGAGCTGCTGCTGCTGCTCCTGCTCAGCCCGTCGCTTCTCGCGGAGATTTCCCATCTGCCGATGGTCAGTAATCGCATTATCCTCGACTCCACGGAGCTACTCCAGCCGCCTCCTTTGGTGCAGGACTCCAATGTGCCAGCAAAGGCGAAGCCCGCTGTATCACCGCAAAGGTGTCCTTCGCTGCAGCGGTACCGCAAGATGCTGAAGGACTTCGACGACCTGGAAGACCTTTACGTGGACGTGCCAGTGCATATTGCCCTGGCAGAGCGGCAGAGGAAGCGGTGAGTACGGCATTCGATTCTCGGTTTTCGGTTTTCCGATGAGGGGCAGCAATACGGCTAAGTGCGATGGCGACGCCGCCTGCCACACAAATCAAATTACGGCCAAACAAATGCGAAAGATGGCCAAAAGAGCCAAACTTAGGGGCGCCTCTTCGAGAAGAAGAAGAAATAGCCGGCAGGAGCAAAAAAATAATTTATAACCACGACGTGTGGCTGGCCAAACAAAAAAAAAATGAACGAAAATCCTCAGCCAGAGTTTTTTTTTACAGTTGTCCATAAATGTGTGTGTGTGTGTCCATAGCTCTTCTTCTTATTTGTCTAGTGTGCGAGCTTTTGTTGTCCTCACAGCTGCCGCCACAAATCGCACTGTGGATTCAGACCCAGATTATATGTCAAAACCTCTTAAATTATGGGAAATGTTCCACTTAAATCTAAGATTGTTTTGGGGAAAACTACAAACACTATTAGGACTTCTGTAACTCGTTTTTGAAATAAAAACTGTATTCTTTGAGATTTAGGTAAATAAAATGGTATAAGATTACAAATCACAAGATTAAAGTACAAGAGCTGTGATCCAATTATATTCCTCGACCTTTACTTAAATTAAATGGTATTGGACTATAGGATATAAAAACGTACTCATTGCTTCAATCAAATCTCAATAGATCAAGAACTGTGGCCTTAAACAAAAGTTAATAAAATAAATGTTAGATATAAATTAATGCTGATTAGGTTTTTCTAAAAAGTTTAAAATCAAAATATTCAGAAAAATCCATATAGAAAAAATCTAATCAAGATATATCTTGACAATACCTAATTTAAATTTTTGCAACCACTTTTTCTATTTTTGTCTTGCTGTTATAAGTTCCTGTAACACCTAAATTTGATGTTCTACATAGGAATACATATCTGTGGCTCCCCTATATTGAGTTTTCCCTGCCCTCCTAAAGTTACCTATCAACAAGGCCCGATTGGCGCATTTCTCTGCACCACTGTTCCCGCTGCGTTGCACGTGGCGTATGAGTAACGTTCTTTTTTTACGATTTTCATTGGTTTCCCTTGGGCCGCAGCAGTTGTGCCTGGGTCAAAAGAGGCCCGTCACGTTTTCGCTTAGGCTCTGGGCTCTGGGCACTGGGCTCCGGGATTTCAGTTTTCAGTTTTCATCTTCTCCAGTGAACGTGCGAACCGCCGCGGGGAAACTGGAGGCCCTCGGCTCGGATAACACTCGATCATTTGCCACAGAATGCCGGCAAACATTCAAATTAATGTCGTGGTTTGTCGTCAACTCCTTTTTCGTTTCGCTTTTTCAGTGCTTTGGCTTCTTTTCTTTCATTTTTCCCTTTTTTGCCCCACTATATAATATAGTTGGTATGTGTATTAGGCGGCACGGCGAGGGTGCTCCAATTGCCTCCAAAGGCAGATCGAGTGACCAGCTCGCGAGACTCTGGAGATGTGAGATTCGAGATCCGAGAGGCCGGAGCCCAGTTCCAAAATCCAGAACCAGAGTACGTGACGTTCGGCTCGAGTTGCCCAGTTTGCTGAGCGTGTGAAAGGAGTTCGGCAGTAGTTGGTCAAAGAAGCTATGGCAAAAGTCGCGTTTATGGCGCGTGCAGCCATTAAGCGTTTTGCTAGAATCAGCAGGCCATATTCATACTCATGCCCATACAAACTACCATTCGCAATCCCATTCCTAGTGGCCCCGTGCGTATCCTTCCATCCACATCCACCAATCAAGGGGCGAGCGTTAATATTTTTGCGCAAACAAATCATAAATATTAATTTAACGACTTAATTCGACGGCGCAATATGCGCTCCCGTTCCCAATTCGAAATTCGCAATTCACAATTCCCGATTCGCATTCGCCAGTCGATCATTCTGGACTTCTGGATGCCACTTGCGGCCACCTGTGGCATTCGCCATCTAGTTGTGGCTGTTGCTCTGCCTGTGGCTGCCAGTCACCCAGTCAAACAGTCAGTGGCCTGAAATCAAAACAAACCCCAAAACTGCCGGAAAGGTAATTGTCTGGCCAACTGTAAAGGAATTTACTCGACAGGTGGATACCTCTTAAAAACTATTTTAGGTGACGTTATGAAAAGATAGTGCTTTAAACTGGGTAAACTATATTATATAATGCAATTGTTTAACATTTCCATGATGTATGATATGATTAGGCAAATATCTTATTAAAATATTTTGAATACATTTCCAAGCCAAAGAAATTATTTTACAAATAATTTATATTTATCTGAACCATTTTATATTTTATTTCACTTAGAAAGATATAAATCTTTTGTCTTAAACATTTAAATTTCTTTGTTTTTATTATTGCTTTATTTGAAATAAAATGCTTTAAAATTAATGAATATAGTTTTACCCCGTCGCCTAACTACTCCATTCACTGTATATCCCTTCCAGAACCATTTTGTGCAGGGAATAAAGGCAAAATGTTGTTAATATGTTGATGCTGTTGTTGGATTGTTGTTGGCGTTGCATTTTTATGAGCGCCGCAGGCTCAGGCGGTGTAAACAACTTTTATTGCCCGGCCCGACACTCGGCAAAAACCCGCCCGCATCTCCACTTTTATGGCGTGAAACTATTTATTTGTAAGCGCATCAAAGCGGCCACAACAGCAGCAACAAATTGCCATAAAATGCGAAGCATAATTCGTTTTTGGCCTTTTTTCTCCCCCGTTTTTGTTTTGGTTTTTAGCTCAAAACTACGCAGACCTTGCGGCAAAGGCGAAATTTCGCACAATGACCAATGCCCCATCATCATCAAACTCAACATCGACATCGGCATCAACATCGTCGTCATTATTTTGCGCCGCCAGAAAAGATCTCCTACGAGTGCGGTGGGCATAGTATGTATTTTTAGCACTTGACAGAGTACGAAAATACTCGGCCGAGACTGCGTAAGTCTGAGGATGAAACTGAGGAATCGGAATGGGAATCGGAATGGGAATAGGAATCGCAATCGACAGAGCCAAAACCAAACCAAACCAAACCGAACAGAACAGACAGAGGGGCGTCGCTCTTAGTCAGACGACTGCGACTTCGCATCAACGCCATAGTTCAATAGTCTAAAATTTCCCAAAAAATAGAGACACAACCGCAGAGGAAGGGAGAAGCAATTTTCAAATTGCAGACACTAAGTGCTCACTGTGCCCATTTCGGTGTGAGTAATTGAGTGTGTCTTTGTTACGCATTGTTTTCGGCGTAAATCACTCATAGAATCGGTATCACAATCAGAATCTGAAGCAGTGTGTTGAGGCATAATAGAGATATCGAATAATTGTTATGTTCTTGGCCGACACAAGGATCACAAGTGAAACGCGAGCCCAGTTGGGAAAGTGGGCGAAGTGTTCGGTGGGCTCTATGTATTTACACTTGACTTCCCAGTGACAGCGGATGAGTAATCCCCGGCACTCAATGTCGGCCATAAGATCCATTAATGAAAACAGATGATAAATTGTCTCAACAAGTTGCTGGGGGCAAAATACACAGCCATGGGAATTTTCCAAAAGCGAAATCTGATTTATGGAATATCTAATAACTCATATTAAACATGAATTATAGATTTCTGAAGTGCAAATAAATTGTAGCTTAAACTGAAAATGAATAAAACAATTTGTAGGAAAGCATTTATTTGAAATTAACTTCCACAGAAATATGATATGTATTTTGATTTAATAAATTTATATTAAGAGCTAATGTAGATTTAATTCCATTTACTATTTTTCATCAAACCTTAATTTTTTAAAAGTTTTATAACCAAGCTGTAAGTATGGGCCACTAAAAATCCACTGCCTATTAAATAGGAATCCCTTAAAAATTACCAAATTTATATCCTGTAACGAACAAAAGTTGTTCCTCCTCCACTTCTGCGCTCTACTTGCAATTCCAATTCCATTTGGGATGATATTTTCGAACCGAAACTTGTGCCATCTGATATCGAAGCGATATTTGTTTGGCTGCCCTGCAGTAACTTCCTTCGCAATCAGCGAATGCGCCACTTATAGGGATATCTGCTTAACTCGTTCTTTATCTGTGTTTTCGCTCGGAGTTTTCCGGCTGCAGCAGTGCGGCAGTGCAGCTGGGAAATCTGAAGCTGATTGTCAATTTGCGGAAAGCGAGGGGAGTTCGTCTCAGTCTCATTCCCGTTCCTCAGTCCCATTCCCAAATGCACCAGGCTGCACACAGACTCCCCGCCGTTGTTGTTTGCAAAAATAGAATTTTGTCTCTGATTTTAAGTATTTCGCGTGAAAAGTAACAGAAGCGACCCGAACGGCACGGACCAGACTATACTATATCTATATAGACTATAGACCAGACAAGAGACCCAGACATTGGAGGGGGGATGGCAGGAGGGAGGGATTGCCAGTCAGAGTCAGTGTCTCTCAATTGCAAATTTATGTGAATTGAGTCAATTTTATCGCAGCCAGCTAGGGGAGTTAGTTTGGGTTAGTTTACTTTTGACTTGTTTGTCCCTAGAAAACTTTGCGTCGTTTGACTGGCGTAAATCGTACGACTGGAGCCACTTGAACTTGGCGCTGCCAGTGGTTATCCCTTGGGTCCTTCCTCCCCCTTCCTCTCCTCCTTTTTCTCTTTTTTCTTTTCCTGTCCTGCTGCTTGCTGACCAGCTGGCACCGCCAATTCCGGATCATTAGCTCGCCGAGAAACGTGAGGGCGGCGACGCAGATGCCCACAACCAGGATGCCAAAGGGTCCTTTAAGATGCTCCGTGGTCAGAACGATATCGGTATCCGCAAACTTTGGTCGCATCTTATTGATCCTATTGAGATACGTATTATTGTATCTAAAATCCGCATCGATCTTTTGGAAAATGCCCACATCCCGCATATTCCGGATAATGCTGTTCATCTCGAAGAGAAAGGGAAAGCCCGCCTTCATGATCATTTGCAAGGGACTGCTGAAGACGTTGTGGGGAAAGGCGTATATATCATCGGCCAGGGCACTCTGCATCGTGTACATCCGGTTGCTCAGGATGCACCGCTCTCCCCATTTCACCGCCTCCAAATTCTTCGTTTGCGGCATAAACTCCGGCGAGGTGTTGTACATCTTAAAGATCCACATATCATCCGGGTTCTCGAACCAATCGCGACTCTCCTCGTGGCCGCCAAAGGGAATTCCCTCGGCCACCACTTCCGTTAGTTCATCCAGCTGATGTAGATAGCCGGGATCCTGGAAGGTTCCTATCATCTTGGACGTGTAGGTGGCCACCACATTCAGGCCATAGAGGGTCAGAGCCATAAAAAAGAGCCTCGTGGACTCACAAATGGGACGCTCTTGAACGGCTATTGAAATCGAAACAGCCAGAGCATTGATGGCCGTTAGACTCAACTGTTGGTAGTACTTCGGTTCTGGGAGGATCTTGACCAGGGCAAACCAGAACAGCCAGCTGATAATGAGAATCAAGATGAAGCCCAGCCAGGTGTAGCCCTCGAAGATGCCCACCATCGCCTGCCAGGCGGGTCTCCGTTCCGCCACCTTGATGTACCAGGTGTGCGCATCCTGCAGATAGGTATCCGATCCCCAGAAGACGTCAGCCACCTCGTTGTCCGGGTAATAGCCCCCGATTATAAAGTCGCACTCGTTGTCCTCCACTTTCCCCAGCAAGCCGCCCCAGCTGCCATCGGCTTCTATTTCGCCACGAGACTCGTTGCTGCAGGTCTGGTTTACCTATGGAAGAAGAAAGAGGGATTATTAAGTTAGATCGAAAAAAATGTATGGAAAATATTATTTATTTTAAATCTCATTCTTGGATACTACAGAAGAAAGATCATAAGATCAATTTCAAAAAAATGAAATGATGTATGACTAATATAAAACAAAATATTTGTCAATTTAATAAGTTTAAGTCAAAGGACTGTTTTCCCAAACAAAGTATATAGATTAGTAAGGAAATATTTGAATTTAATTTAATTAAGTGGTAATTTTAATTTTAATTTTTTTTAATTTTAATTAAGTGGTAATAAATTCTTAAAGTTCTATTCAACTGTATTTAGGTTTGATGCCTCTTAAATTTAAGTCGGTAATTTGGTATACAAATTTAGAAAATATCTTACAGCATCAATTTAATACATTTTTCGATAAATGTTTATGTCGTAACAGTCAAAAGCCTCCACAATTTAGTTTGCAAAAAGCAAGAATAAGGTATATAAACTCACATCAAATTTCAGTCGATTTTTCATGAATCCAAGGATTCTCATCTCGAGCCCCACGATGCAGTCGGCCTCAACGAAGGGAGCCGAGATCGAGGAGCAGACGAAGAAGGTGCAGTTCTTGGGGCTGAAACCAGCCACGTAGTCCTGCATGGAGGCATGAACGACTCGGGGACTGGGCGAAAGTTCTCCATTGTGGCACTGACCCACACTCTGAATGTCCAGAATCCGGCAGTTCACATTGCTGTAGTAATCGTTAACCAATAGGTTATAGTCCGTGGGCGAAATGGAGTAGAGAAGGGCCACTCGATGGACATAAAGTTTTTCCATTAGCCGCGTGAAAATCTGGGATGCCACGTCCCGGGGACGATTCCTCAGTTTTGGATCATTAAAAAGAATCAAGAATCGGGCTCCTGGGTTCCAGGATCGCATATTTTTTACGTGATTGGCCATCAGTCTGCGTAATCGCTCTATAGAGTCCACGATTATCACATAGTTGTCGGCGAGGACCAGTGATCCCATGTTTGGGATGGTCTGGTTGGTTTTGTCGGATATCACTCGGATTTGAAAAAGTTCCTGTCTGTGTGGTTCCCCGGGATAGGTGGCCGCCTCGTTGATTAGCTTGCTGAATCCCTCCTGAATTTGATCCGCCGGACTGGAGAGGTTGAACACGTGGGCCAGCACCAAGTTATAGGCTCTGGTAAAGCGCTCCACGGGATTGCGGTAGAAAAAGATTTGCGAGAAGCTGTCGAGGCAATTGACTCCCGCTTCCCAAACATCGGGTCCCAGATCCTTTTCGGGCAGCATAAAGATCACCGTGTTGGCCGTCTCATTCGAGGGGTTCACTATTCCCTGAGTGGGATTTAAAATATTCACCAGGAAGATGATAGAGACACTTGGATAATTCCACAACATTTTGGTGTCTGTCACGTTGGACAATTGTGAATTAACTGTGGTTGGTGTGAATTTTAGTGGGCTTGTGATGTGGCGGATAACCTGCTTATTGCAGGTTGGGCATATCGATTATAAAGAGTGGGAAAGTTTAAAAAATATATAATACATAGAATGCGAGGGTGCTCAACCCACTTAAACCAGCCTTTCAAAAGTTCGGAGTATTATGATAATCCCGGGCTTTCAAATCCATTAAACATTTACTGCGGCCTGCTTGGATAGCATTAAATCATTTCCGGGCCTCGCTGCCCCGGGAGCGCATTCAACTTTCGCCTTTGGCCGATGTTTGCCTTGTATAATTGACTGCTGTCATCGTGCCGACAACAAGGATGGCCCCCAACAACAAGCGCTGGCCAACAAACAATCGCCATTGCAACATGCAAGGCTTAAATTAAAGCAAATATTTTCTCAGTCGCAGCGGCGCCGCCGACCAACAATGGTCGAAATGCATTAAAACACTCCATCAATCCGAACCTTTTGGCAGGGCGGCCAAAAATACGACTATATGGTATTATATGGCAACGAATGGCGCACTAACTTCTGTTCGGTTTGCGGGGGATGACGATAATGATGGCCACGATGACGATGATGATGATGATGGCCCATGGCGTTGGCCGGAAGTAGCCGGTCATAAAAATAAAACTCGAGATGGCCGGCCATAAGCCAAGTCAATGAGTCATTTGCTGCATTGAAGCGGCCATCCTTGCGAACTGCTCCTTGCAAACTGCATCCTTGTCCGAGTCTCGTGTTCTATATATGTACATATAAATACCATGTGGGTGTATCGGCGAGCTCGTTTGTCTTAGCAGTTTGTCATTAGAAAAATTGCTCGTAAATTTCGCATTTAATTACAATACAAAGCTCAGCAAGTTCAGAAAAAGTCCAGCGCCCAGGGGACTTGAACTCAATCTTTGGCTGCAACAATGTTGCAACAGCATCGGCGAGAAGATGGATAAACAAAGTTGGCAAAAGGATAAAGGAAGTCGAAGGATGGATGCTCTTTCCGGCTTATAGAGGTTATTAACCATGTGAAGTATTTGTGAAGAGAAATCTTAATCTAAATCTAAGCTTTATCTCTGTAAGTTCTAAGTCACTAATAAGAGATTATATATTAATGACTTTTAATCTAAAATGTTTTAACTAAATATTGATGAAATGTTTAAGGAATCCTTCATATTTACCCCCTGACCAACCGGACTGACCCTTTAGAACAGAGTATGGCCAAAAGGCGCTGACTCATTTGGTTCAGTTCGGTCCAGACAGGCGGCAAAACAAATTGCGTGTGATAATTTAGTGTCATCATTTTTGACAAAGGGCGTTAACAGCTCACTTACTCCGCCCCTCGAAAAGCCGCCTTCATCTCGTTTTGCGTTTTGCAGATTTGTGCTGAACCTGAACGACTCGACGCCGCTGACGATTCGCTTTTCGGCGCCCGTGGGCCGCAAGATGTACTACAATCAGACAGGTAAGTCCGCCCTTCTTGGGGCCCCCAGATCCCCAGACCCCAAGACCCCGAAACCCCTTCATTAACCGGCGATCTCCTCTGCCTCTGCAGGAAACCTCCTCCGGCCGGCGGCAGTGGCACCTGGTCCAGGTGTGGCTGTGGGCAGTCTGGTGCTGCCCTGCGCCCTCCGCGGCCAATACGACCTCTTCGTCCTTTCCCGCCACTCGGGAGCCCTCAAGGTGGACGCCCTGGCGGAGCATCCCCAGCACGACTGGCCCCTCCTCAATGCCACGCACCGGATCGCCATTCGCACCCAGAACCGCGTGCGGAAGCGCGAGATGATCGTCAAGTGGGACAGGAGGTGAGTTGTGATCCCGAAAATCTAGAGATCTAGGAAAATACCATAGAGAAGGTTTTAGCAGAGAGGCCTTGCAATTTATCATTATCTCCATTTTAATCTTAGAATAATTTATTAGGTAGACTAATTTGAATTTATTTTCAAATTAATAAGTACAAATTTTAAATGATGATTACGGCGAATAAATTAATAAAATTTGCGTAAAGATAATAAATAAATACGATTTTTCTTACAAAAATCTGAGATAAAGTTACTGATCTTTAGTTATAACTTAATTAATAGTCACTATGTTAACGATGTTTAAAATAAAATTTTCCTTGAAATCTTTAAAAAGTAGTTCAAGTTGAAGAGATATAAGTTTTAGTAAGTACCTAGTATTTCTCTATTCAAACCTCAAAAATCGTTTCAGCAAGTTTGATTACCACGTCATGCACTATTGCCTGGTGATACAGCGCGTCTCCATGAACACCCCGCGGATAACTTTCGACAATTTCTGCCAGGCGGTGTCCGCCTATGTGGATCAGCGACCCCTGACTCCCAGTTGCTCCGGAGGCAATCCCATGGACCTCGTTTGGGGAGCACCAGCCCAGCGGGAGAGGAGGCTAAATCCCCGGCAGAATCTGCACATCGTGTGCACGGGGAAGAGGCGCCAGCAAATGCTGCGTCGCCTTCACCCGCGGAGCAACTACCAATTGGATGTGTTCGGGGTCCACCAGGCCCGACAGAACCTCACCGTTCGACTGGCCAGCAGCCAGGTGAACTTCAACCGCACCCAACCGTTGGCCCTGAAACAGCAGGCTCTGATGCAACTGAAGATCGGGGGACAACATGGCAAACAGGTGTACAGCTTCAAGGTGCCGCAGACGATACTCGAGGTGGAGGCGGAGCCGTTTATGAGGCACCTGTTGATTCCCTGCTCGGGCAGCGAGATCCGGGTGAAGCTGCTGCGCCAGAGGAATGAGGTGGGGAAAACGGAGGCCTTCTACAGTCCCACCTACATAAGGCAGAAGGGAGTTTTACCCGGCGAAAGGTATCTGATGCGATTCGAGCCGAGCAACGAGGATGAGGCGTTGCGGGCCCAGAAAGTTATGGTATGTAGATACTAAATATACAGAAACTATATCATATAATCTAAAATTATATTTATTTTTATAGGTGGCCCTTAGCAGCGAGGCTTTGTTCCGGGATTTGCCCGAACTGCCGCAGAATACCAGTGTTTTCAATGTGCGAACGAGGTGCAATCGAGCCACCATCGCCTGGAATGGCTCACCAGATGAACGGGAGTTGAGGTAAGACCCCAGTCCATAATTCCTAATTATGATATACTAAATCTCTCTATCTTGCAGCTACTGCATCATAGTGTTCAATCTGCCGCAGCGCAATCGCAGCGTGGTGGACACCACCAACTACTGCATGGACTTTGTGCCCAAAAGGGTGATGCAGTATCGCAACTTTGAGTGGATGACTTGTAGGGAAAGGCAACAGAGGTGGGCAATGGGTATACCCCTTAGAAATATTTATCTAATAATATATCCTCCACAGTCCCGACAACATCGAAACGGAGACCATACTGAACCTGATGCCGGGCTCCAGTTACCTGGTCTACGTGACCGCCAACCTGAGCATGGGCAAGCCACTGCCCTACCAGGCACTCACCCTCCACATGGCCAGCCAATGTCTGGACGGATCCCACGAGTCCTTCTACTAAGAGTCCTTGAGCCAGAGTTACTGGAACCTAAAACCCAAAAAGCTTCGCTGCATTTTCGAATACAAACACTGAACTATCCGTCGTTGTAAAGCTACCTTATCCACTACGATTACTACACTATCCTACAAAAACTATGCTGGTTAAAAGACTATACACCTAGCTCCATATACTATATATATACAGATATACAGATGTTCGTGGCAAATGTTGTGTGAGCGAGTGAGTGTGTGCATGTGACTTCTGATTGTGTTTGCCATTTGATTCCAAGTATTTTCGAGTGCTTAATTTTGTAATTTTAAATAGCTAGCCGTTAATTTTTGTATAAACTGTTTCATTGGTTTTCCCACTCCGCTAACTGGATAATCTAGCGCTCCTAGTTTAAAGTTTACACTTAGTTCTTGATAGGCTTTTGCTGTTAAGTTTAAACCGTAACCGTTCTTTTGTACATTAAGCTTACAGTTAGCTCTATATTAGATATACCATTATGAATATATATGTGCGTTGAAAGCGTTGTATTTTTTGAAGCCGAACTTATGCAACCGAAAGGAGGACAATAAACAAATGTGCTATAAAAGGAGGAGAGTGTCGCAAATAAATGTGAAACCGCAGCTAAAGGAAAACTGATATTTGCAAGGTGTTTTTACTTAACTCCCTCCCTATCGAAAGGAAAAGCTTCGGGGGCATGAATGAATGAGTGATTACGATGATGATGATGGCGTGTGCAACGAGGTGCGCATAATAATGACAGTGGATAGCAATCTGAACGATAAGCGGGCACCCGATAATGAAACATTAAGCCCATCGGTAGTCGGTAGTCGGTGGTCATAAATCTGTCGCCAGTCTGTCGGCGGAAGCTTTTAGGTCCGGACCTTTAGCGCGGCATACTTTCGGGCTTTCTGGCATTGGGTTGGAAATGGCCCTGCTCCACTACACCTTCGACCAACTCGATTTGTACTTAAAGTGGGCTTTCACCCATTATGGGGAGGCCACCCCGAGCACGGCGCTCCAGCCGGTTCCCGGCGTCGTTGTCGGTGATCTCAGCCAGCTGAATGGCTTCAAGCGGAACGCCTTCTCCGCCGTGGTGGGCACTCTATTTGTCCTGGCCTTCTCCGGGAATCTGGGCACCCTCTATGTCAACACGCGCCGAAAGCTGCGACCCTTCTTCAGAGCCTGCCTCATATCACTGGCCTGCAGTGATCTCGTCTCCAGTGTCTTCTGCACTATCTCTTATATGGCCCAGTTCCAGGCGGAGTACCTCCAGCTTTGGGTGAGTTGGAAAAGCCAGGAAAAAGGAAATATTCGAAAATAAGAAATCTATAATTATCTGGTGTTTATGCAATTTTTAAAATATTTTCCAATATTTTCTTCTATATGAGCCTTCTATATGAACCTTAAATTTCATATTTTAAATATTGCAAATACTTAAATTTATTTATTATTTAAAATAAACTACTTTATCATACATCCTTTTTGTACAAGTTACATTTTTTTAAAAACGATTTCCATCTGAATCTTTATAGACAATTGGCGGCTTCATGTGCAACTTTGTGCCGTTCATAACGACCACCTCGGTGCTTTCCGGCAGTTTGACCCTGGTGGCCATTGCCCTGGATCGCTACTTGGCTATTATGCGACCCGTGCTGGGATTCTGGAATCCGGACATTCGCTTCAGCAGCCTGTGCATGCTGCTCATCTGGGCCTGTTCGATTGGCGCCTCTGGACCGCTTCTTGGGATCTACGAGTACAAGAGAATCTGTCTGCTGGGTGTGGAAAATGACTCTTCCGAGGAAAGCGCGGAAGTGCCAACGGCTGTGCCCGAGGAACTGGTGATCACTCAATTGGAAATGGTCCACATGTGCCTGGCCGGAGACGTAAGTCAACGACTGGATTATCTCTTCAATACACGTCGTATATTTGACAGCGATTAAGGGGATTTGAGGGGGGAGAACGAGTGGATTGTCGAATCAATGTTCCGATTATCTTATCAGCCGGGTGAAAAACAATTAATGCAATTCTATAAATATTCCGTTTCAGCACGATGTCGGACTCTACTACGTCATACTGTTCACCCTGATTTTTCTGCCCTGCATAGTGTCCTTCGTGTGGTTGAATGCGGTGATAGCGAGGCAACTGTGGCTGCGGAGGCACTACCACCAGGAGCAGCAGGTGCAGGAGCAGGAGCCAAAGGAGGGTCAGTTCAAGGCGATGTCGAGTGGGGGGGATCTCCTGATGCCCTCCACTTTGGTCAGTGCCATGGGTGTGGCCTTGCCCTTTGCCTTGGAGAAGTCACCGCAGCTGCCGGCGAAGAGTCCTCGGAAGGATCCGGAGAAGAGGACCACGGCGGCTGCGTTGGCCAGGGAGGCCAGGCATCGCAGGATGGTGGTGGTGGTGCTCCTGATGATGGCGGTCTTTATCTGCCTCCGACTGCCCGCCTGGGTCTTCCTAATCATGCGACTGTATGGATCCTACTCCGAACCCATTGACTGGCTGCTGTACTTCAGTTTCGGCATACTAAACCTGTTTAGCTGTGCGTTAAATCCCATTTTCTACACCTTCCTAACACAAACCATAAGGACTGTATCGCTGGTGAAGCAAAAGGTGCGGGGATTCCTGGGCTGTGGTCCGAGTAAAGTTCAGGATGCCATGCCCACGGATCAGATGGACAGAAGCCGGTGCTGCTGCGGCCTCCGACCCCCGACTTTCACTTGGAGATGTTATCCCACCCGGGATATGGCAGGCACCACTGTTATCCGGGATGTGGACCCAGCGGATCAACAGCCGGATCCCAGTAGCCTACGGCGATTCCTCAGCCTGAAGGGGGAGGTGTTCACCATTTACAAGCAGTGCGATGACTCGTCGAGTGCGTCAATCGAGTCCTCCGCCTGATAGGCGGTGCTCATAAATCACCCGAGTGCATTTGTCGGATACGGGGGCCAACGGTTAGCAGAACTTGATTGATGGATCCAACCCCCACCTATAGTATATAGCCTATTCGGCCGCAAAAACGGTTGGTCACGGTGGGTATATCACCTACAAATACGCATATAAGCGCACATATTATGTACCTCATTAAATGTGTAAATATGAGGAATAAAGCGAATGGGTGTTGGCAACTAAGTAACCATTAACACTTGGCATAATCGAGTTTGGGAAGGTCTAAGTCGTTATAATAACGAAAACTAAAGACCACTTGAGCTCTGAAAAAGTGTTTATAATTCAAAGTAGCTTTATTTCGGGGGAACTAACTCAGTCAGAAGCTTAAGTTTTTAATGGTATTGCAAACATTTGTTAAAAATTTAATTAATAATTAAATTGATTACCAACCATATTAATTTAACAATTTTTTTTTAGGCAAAAATATTAAATAATAGTCATATGTATATTGTATAGCTTTACTAAGTATTAAGTCCAGTCAGTCGAAATAAGTCAGTTTGGTCAATTTATGACAAAGAAAATAGCAAGAATTCGTGTGAGTAAGGCAGTCATTATAAAACAAGCAGCTAATCACTAGACTAGAAATCAAAAGTTGTCTATTTATTAAGACCAATTTAACGAATTTAAATCATGCCAAAATATGCGAATGAACAAACAAATTTTAACGAAGAATTCGCCTGACTAAGAAACCCATTATAAAGTCAGCAGATCGTAGCCGAAACAATGCATGATCTGTAGAACAGATTTCATCAAATACTAGATACTTCCGTTTTGGAACAATAGTTAACAAATTTTCATGTGAGATAGAAACTAATTAATTGTCAAAAGTTGGGCACGCTAGACCTCTGCTACTCATATGGCAAAAGCAAAAGCTCTCTCCCATTTTATTTCTACCTCTCTGGGGTCTTTGGGATCTAAAAAAGTACTCTCTCTTTTTCCCATGAACTTTTATCAGCTGCAGAGCTCGACGAAGCTCGGCTCAAAAGCTGAATTCTGCGCTTCGCTTCTCAATTCATTCAGTGTCGGCGGTTCGCGGCGAGCGGTTGGTTTCTCTCAGCGGAGAAACGCGAATTCTTTGTGCGGCGGGTGAAATCTTCGACGGAAGAAACGACAAAACAAAGCGACAAGTGTGGAGTGCAGGCCAAAAAAGAAATACATAAGTTCGATTGTAGAAAATCGTGAGCCAAACAAATGAATCGCAAATAAATGAGGCCAATCAGCGGAGCAGAGCTGCGAATTATGGCACAATCTTGCCTATAAATAGTGTAACCATAGGAAAGAAAAAGTGGCAAACAAACAACACGAATAAAAAGCATAAAAAGGGAAAGAGGCGAGGTATAAATAAAGAAAACAGAAACCGAAAGAACAAAGGCGGGTTCGTTGTGGGTCAAGAACGAAAGTTCGGCTCAAAAGTGCCCGTTGAGTGTGCATTTTTCGGGATCTGGGAAGAGGTAACTATAGCTATGCAAAGTCTGCGGCTTTGATCAATGTTTTGGTTTGGTCTTGGTTCAATCTGTAAACCAGTCGAGTTGGTTACTCTTTTTTTTACTGTTACACATTTCGTCAGAAGCAACGCGTCAGGAAAAACACGTTTGCGCATTTCACTTTGGGTATCTCGGCTTGTCACGCATGCGCAGACCGTCTTGCAAAATCCGCACCTTGTTTCACTTTTTGCGGCCCATTCTAAGGCGTTATAAGCAGTGTATGGTTTATATAGGAAGACCCATCTAAGTGCGATCTTCTGGTTACGCAGCTTTACGCTTTCGTTTGGCATTCTGGTTTCTAGTTTCCGTTTCTATTCGCGTGCAGTTTGCTGTAGTCGCGGTATTCGAGGTACGATGAGTGGCGATATGGCTGCATGTTTAATTAGCCCCCGCTAACCAAAACAGCCGAGCCACAAAAACAAATATATAGGCCAGTATTTGGACATGACGAGGCTGTTCCATTGGCCACTGGCTAGTAGCCATCCCATCCATACGAATGGCAAACAACGCACACGCACTGCCCAGAAGCTTGACCATGAATATTAAATCGGTGGGGAGAAGATCGAAATGTTTTTAATGGGGGATCGGAATAGTTTACTTTTCTAACATTTACATAGAAACGTAATTCCTACATATCTGCGTAAACGTGATATCTTGGGTTAAACGGGTTAATTCTCGGCCACATTCTCACAATCGAAGCTTTCTTTTTCTTAAGAAATCAATTAAACACAATCAATCACTTTGGGTACACAAAACTGAACAAAAATTTCCATAGACCAATTTGCCGGGGGAAAAAGAAAAGAAACTCACTTTCGTTTTCATTTTCAGGTGGTTATCTCTGTAGACCGCGCTCTCCCATCTCTTTCCTAATTATTATAAAACCAGAAACGTTCATTAAAACATTACATGCAGCGTGACCGAGACTGCAGCATTATACAATAGACACTAAAAGCAAAGCCAACAAGATTGGATGGAGTGACTTAAGCCCTGGGATATAGAGATAGAGATGTTATTATGGTGAGGTACATGGGTGTGGGACCCACTCCATTTAGCACATGCCCGGCCGAAATAACAAAAGCGAGAGAAAGAAGAAATTATATTATCAAAAATAATTTCTAAAGAAAGTGAAAGTTTTTTGGGCAGCACATTTTTTTCCCGACTTACCGTTGCCCGCTGAGTGGCCCTTTTTTGGGGAGTAATCGTGCCCTGAATGAACGATGCCAACCCAATATATTGTGAATGAGAAAGCTGAGCCGTAGAATAACAGCCAGCAGATGCAGATGGTGTGTGCCAAAAATCCATTTTTCTGACCACGTGCTGCAGGTGTAGTAAATATAAAGATGATAAAACCGGTTAGCAAAAGAGTCTCTGTTCGTTTTGATAGTTTTGTAATGTCTTTTGGGTTCGAGTTCGGGTTCAGGCGCTTTTGATGGCTGTAACTTGACCTGCATTCAGCTGGAAATTAGTGTTGTCCTCGGCTAACCTTGTCCGCGAAACGAGTTTTCTGGTCTTCTGCCCCCCCATCAAATGTGTTAATAATGCATTTCTACTTGAACCGAACGATAGGCGCCCTGGAGAAGGCACTTTCGATTTTCGCTCGAATCTCTGCGGTAAATAAAAAGTTGAAAAACCCTCGGATATTACAAGACGCCGACGATTTCTCTCCGCCGGGGGAGAGGCCAATGTACTTTCGGCTTGAGACTGCGACACTTGTCCGTCGTTTGTCAGGGTGTCTGGCTTATGGATGCGGCATTGTCGATTTGGCGGGGCTATGCCAATTGGTTGGGTGGCATTGAGCCCGGTGCATAATGTTGTGTACGAGTATAAGGCCTGTCGCCACAAACAAATCAATTGGCTTTAGTTGTTTTGTTTACTCGCACTTGATTGCTATTTTATATATCGTGTCATGTGATAGCCGTTTGAATGGGCGAACCATGAATTGGAAGTCTGGAGATGAGTCAGGGTCAAAGACGCGAATGTGAAGGCGTTTTTTTACCATTTTGTTAATTTACTTTCCATACTTTTACTTCAAAAAGACCTTTTATAATGACGTCTTTTTAGTTTTAGATAATTGAGTTTCAGAATGGTGAATTTACCAATTTTGCTTTTTATAGTTTTCCAAAGAAGAATCATATTTATTTAATATTATTTTTTGTGCAGCCCGAAATCTCAATATCATATTTGTATCTCTTAGTTTATTTTTCTATCCTCTGAATCATATTAAGTTCCATACCTCAAACAGCTTATCTCAGCTTTTTCTTGATTAAACGTTCCCTTGCATAAATCTTTTTAAAGTATATTTTTATTGCGTACTCAACTCGTTATATAGTTCACACTGATAAGGGCGTTTCCTCCCAAACAACAACAGAAACTTGATTTGCTCAGTGTTAAAAAATAAATAAAAAACTACATTGGCAAATAAAAGTACATGAGATTCATGAAATCACATTCGGACGACAGATGCTGATAAGGCAGTTTGATAAGGCCATCTCAGCAGAAAAGGGGTAAATAATACGAGGGCTTCCAGGGGACTGTGATATTTTACGAAAAGTTTTAAGCAAACAACACTCGATGTACAGACACCGCACAAATGTATCCGTCAATCCAAATAAAATCGCTGCAACAATTCCATCTAATGTTGAATGCATCGGTTGGTGACATTTCCCCGATTGCTGATGATGTTGCTCACGTTTGTTGCCCATGTTGCTGCTCTGTTGTGGGGGTGTTCAAACATGACTGCCATTTACAGCTAACGAGATTTTAAGTGCTGTCAAATGTTGATGAAACCGTCAAACACCCGCACACAAATTGAAATTTAGATTTCGTGTCCCCAGCGACGAGCAATCGGAAAGGTCAAGTGGTGAAGGGATGGAATTGGTATTATGGTTGGTTTTTGGAAATGGCTGCATTGGATTTGTGGCCAAGCAAGGTAATGCGACAAAAGCCAGGGGGCGATTTATGGTCCAAATGGTGGAGATACCTTTACGGCTGAATAAATGAGCAGGATTTGCAAACAAGATTGGTGCTTACAGTCATGACATCAAATGTAATAACTCATTCCAAAATGAGTTGACTTTCGGACATCGATGAAATGTGTGCTACCTTTAATTTTTCATTGGTAAAATTGGATTTACAATTTCTGGGAAGCTTTTTTGATTGAGATTACAGAAACTTTACAACCCAACTGTGAGTTATTAAAGAGTTAAAGCAGCAGCCAGTTTATTTATGAGTCTGTCCCCTGCATTACATAAATGTTAATGGTACTGGCCATAAATCAAGCAGGAAAAGAAACTGCATACTAAAAACCAAAACAAACCGAAAACGTTGATGAGCCACTGCACATACTCTTACTTAAATACAAAAAAAACGCCGTAATGAAACTCGTTCCACAAAATAATGACTCTCCAATTTGCTGTCTCCGCTTGTTATTTTCTTATTTTGGGTAAACCCTGCTATGTAGGTCAAGCC